TGATGACTGACACAAAAGGAGAATCAATATATCACACATTGGAAGAGTTTTTTAAAGAAAAAGAAATTCCTATGTGTAATATCTTATCAGTTGCGACCGATGGTGCTCCAGCCATGGTAGGGTGCCATCGAGGTTTTATTGCATATTTGAAAAAAACTGTACCAAATGTACTCGCTGTACATTGTGTCATTCATCGACAACATTTAGTTGCCAAAAATTTGAGTGAACGCTTACATAAGTCATTACATTATGTAATTTCAGCTATCAATAAAATCAAAAATAATTCATTGAATGATAGATTGTTTGGACAACTTTGTACTGAAAATGATGAAGAATTCTATCAATTATTATTTCACACAGAAGTTCGTTGGTTGTCGAAGGGTGCCTGTTTAGACAGATTCTATAAGTTGTTTGACTCGGTACTTGAATTTTTAAAAACTAAAGATGATATTTTACGAGGCAACTTAATTAATTATAGAAGTGACATTGCTTATTTGACTGACCTGTTTAAAAAATTTAATGAAACAAATTTGCAGCTGCAAGGTGATGATTTGAATTTAATCAAAACAAAAAATATTATTTCTGCATTTTTAATAAAACTTCTTATGTACAAAAGAAATTTAGGACGAAAAGAATTTATACAGTTTCCAAATCTATCAATGGCACAAAAAAATGATGAAGATTTAATGACATATTGTCAACACCTGGAAGCACTACATTCCGATTTCAACAAACGATTTGAGGATATTCTTAAAATAAACATACCCAAATGGGTTTTAGATCCATTTTCAAATACAGAAACCATAGATTCTGCAAAATTAGAAGAAGAATTGATAGAAGTAACTACACATGAGGAATTAAAATTAAAGTTCAAGGAAGGTTACCAAGTATTCTGGCTACAAAAGCAGATACCTATACTTTATCCTGGATTGTGGGCTGTTGTACAAACATTTCTGATCGCATTTCCATCATCCTACTTGGTTGAACGTGGATTTAGTGCAGTAACCAATCTACTCACTAAAAAAAGACAACGGTTACAAATAACTAATCGTGGGGACTTAAGAATGCTGCTTACGAAAATCGAACCTAATATCAACGAACTTCTAGCAAAACACCAACCACATCCATCTCATTAAGATATTTTTTTTTGATTTGTACCTATACATTATATATATATTTATAAACAATAAATTTAATTTTTCATTGCATACTTTTTTAACAATATTTTTTTTAAGGGGGGCGTCTGTCGGATTTTTTTTTTGGAAGTGGGCGGTAAAGATAAAATGTTTGGGAAACACTGATCTAAATATTTACTCACTTTTTCGATATTATTACGTGACATTATTACGCACACGACAACGACAACAACAACGTTTATAATCGAACTGAATATTTATATAGACAACAATTCGTCTCTATGGATTATGGTTCAAATATATGGCGTAGACAATTGTATACTATTTTATTGTAACATTCTAAAGCGATAATGATAATGATATCGAATATAGGGTTCATGGAAATACCCAAGAAAAAGGAACGATAAATAAATCTAAAAATAAAACATATATAATACAGTGCAAAATATTCTGAAGTATTGCAGTAGGACAGTAAAATATGTTCTTTCATAAGAAACCATTGAAATTATTACTGCTATAGCAGTTCTGTGTTTATTTTAGCACTATTTCAACTTTTAAAATTACTGCTATAGCAGTAGCTGTCCACGAATGTGGATACTTATTAATTCTGATTTCACATGGTGATAATTGACTAATATACTACATCTATATAGGTACTATTATATTATGAGTTAACAACATTGACTGACCTACTCATCTTATTTGCCCTTATATACATTAACATATAATTGGAGGATTATTTTGGTAGTTTAGTAACAGTGGCTATAAATACAGGCTGATTCGATCAACATCGACAAACGTTTAACTTCAATTATATTCTACAATTGAATATCTAACTACCAACATGAGCAATCAATGGTGAGACCGAGTAGCTATTCTATAGGATAATCTCCCGAGTACAAAACCAAAGTAATGTAATATAATTTATTGAATTAAAAACAAGAAACATGTACATACTATTTGTTGTAGACCTAAATCCCAATAGCAATAATTCGTAGATCTTTAAAACTACTATGTTATTGCATACCTCCGTCGTGGTCAAAAAACCACATAAATCGAAAACCGGTCCTGTTCAAGGCCATAAATGTCAGGCTTACGGTCACACAAAAACATATTCTTCACACTAACCTCGCTGCGTCAAATGCGGAGAAGAACATTTCTCCAATATGTGTTCCCCTTTAGATTTCCAAATGACCTGCCACGTCGTCTCCGGTGTGTGGAATTTGTTGTCAACAACGGTCATTTCGTGAACATGAACTCTAAGCTGTGTTCCAGGCATTTCGTTCCCGGTGTTGACTACTCTGTGGAAAACGTACGACGACGCCGTCTGGTGCATACAGCAGTGCCGTCTTTGGTGTGTATGATTGAGGTGTTCCAGGAACAACCTTACTGAACTTAATGACATTTGAAATTTTTGCTATTGCATACCACAAGTAGACTAACAGACATTATATATAAATATTAACTTTTTAAATAAAAAATCATTTAAATTCAATTCCAAGATCACTTCTGTACGTTTCACTTAATTGCATAACACAGTGTGAATTACAAACCCAACATGCACCTACGGCCATGTGTCAATTGGTATTATTTTCAGCTACAGACTCCATGTGCAATTATTATCTTGGACACCAATCCTCCAATGGCACAAACTCTGGTTGTGTTTTCTATGTTATTTACTTAATTTATTTATTATAGTTCTACGATTAATTATTTCTATAGTTTTACCTAACCACTACTACACTTACTCTGTACAACATTCTTGAAAACCAAATATAATATATTTTTTAACATAAACCTTACATTCAACTCACCCTGATGTACTTAATATTGTTGTATTAATGTTAATATTTAGAATTTTTTTTATATTACGGTCAATGTTAGTTATAACCCACTGTGTTTTAAACAAATCTCTAATAAACAAATGACAATTACTCAGACTACTCATAATATGTTTTCTGACACGGTTGCTGACAAAACATTTCACTGTTCTCCGTATCCACTGCGATTCACAGTATTGGCTTACTCAAAACTTATTGAACACAATAAGTACAGTTAATGTTATTACAGTTACTTACAATGGACTTTATTTTAAATGTAATAACATAAACATAAATATTTTTCTCGCACAGTTATCAATGTCTGTTCTACACAAACATTGCATTGGATCTATAGTAATGTATTTTTGATTTGCAAGTTGTGATCTAAATATTTTATCTGTTATGCAAGCCCTTCTCACCGTATTCACGTACTCACCTCGCACAATGGCATGCATTCACATCCTATAAAACCAATTGATCAATATACTACAAAACATAAACCTTTCACCTGCGACTTATAAAATATTTCATTGATGAATTCACTTAATGCATATAATAAGTATCCACATTTGTAGAGTGCCACATATTCTTAAAATATAAGTTATTTTTAGCGTAAGAAGTGTGGTCTAGCCAACACTTCAGAGAATTTCTTCTGTTTTGTTATAAGTACTTCTTAATTTTCATTTTTTAAGAAATGATTAACAATGTATTTGTGTTGTTTCGATTGTATATTAAATATAATCACACTGATTTCAATACTTTTATTAAGTCAAATAATAATTATATGTCAATGTTTTTCACTTGAAAATTTCGAGCTTCTAAACATGACCACACTCTTAATTGTTCAGTACTCGCACACCTCCTACTACATTAAGAACCTGGACAACAGACGAAGTGCAAAAAAGCGTTGGACAAATGTTATAAGATTCTAAAAATTTACGAAGTGCAACATTTTGAAAAAAAATCTTAAACGCTATTCAACGAATATATACGGCGATTTTTAAAAATTAAACTGGAAACTAGCTCGTGGAGAAATGACTATCGAACGGTTAATGACTATATTTTAGCCGTGATAATGCAGTAGGTATCGATTTGGATATAGAAAATATAAAAGAAAATCCTGGATTGAGAGCACTTGCTAAAAGGGTCTGGTACGAAACGTCGACAGTTAATATATCGACAAGTTAAAATGTCGACGGTCAAAACATCGACATGTACAAAATATCGACGGATCATTATATCGACAAGTACAAAATGTCGACAGGTCAATATATCGACAAGTACAAATTATCGAAAAAAAAGATTAAATTTTATAGGGATAACGTTGAAATACGGCATTCTTTTGGATACTGAATGCTCTTTAATAGCTTTGTATAATACACAGATAACGATAAAATAAATAGTAATTCCCGTGCGAGAGAGATATGAAATCGATTTAGTACGACTACGAAAAAGTACACGAGTATATCTATGTGCTGTTAATATAAAAAAAAATCAGACAGGATTTTAAAACGGGTCAACAGGCTGAATTAGTTGAATTTATAAGGTAATTATTTTTATAATAATATATCAGTAGTATTTATTCATAATTTTATCTTGAGCATTTCATGAATTACATCGACTTGAAAAGTTGAAACACTAGATTTTTAATATTACTGTGAATAAAATATGTAGGTATATTAATTTATGAATAACTTAAATCAAATTAAAATATAATATTTCATTTGGCATATTATAGTATCCCTATATAAGTGACCGTTATCGGAAAAAATGCTATCTGCTATACGTATGGTATAATACTATAATATATCCACTTATAAGCACGAATTCACGACGATGCACAAAATTGTGTGCGAGTCCTATTTTTATTGAGACCTTATCGGTATCTACCATCGTTGTCGTCCGTAATATACGTAATACCTAATCCGTCATTTATTATTTTTATTATTATTCGAAATATATATATTAAACCTAATAATATCATATTTTTTTTTAAGTTCTAAACAAACATATATCTTTACTTATTTTTGCTTAAATTACGTACAACAAATTTCAAATATCGAACCACAAGCATTTTTATATTTTTTATTTTATAGAAAAATGGAAATTTGCGAACTAATACCGTCACAAAAAGGAAAAGACAAACTGAATGTTCTGTATCTTTTCCTTCTAAATCAACGCCGTAAGAATACATTTTATTGGAGATGCGATCAACGTATTTCAATTGGTTGTATAGATCGGCACAAACGATTTTTGTAGATGGAAATCATTATTTATATGGTCAAAATAATGACCACAATCATGCTCCCGAAGCCAGTAAACCAAAAATTGCAAAAATATTATCAACTTTAAAGCAGAAAGCTGGGGTCTCAAGAGACAAACCAGCCCAGATAATTCAAAGTATTTAAACTTCGATGGACATAAATAATGCTCAATCATTGCCTTCAAAAGATGCAATGCGTCAACAAATTAAGAGAGTGCGTCGACAAAATGTAATGTCAGAACCTACTTCATTGGATTCGCTGTTTATACCCGAAGAATTAAAGCATACATTAAATGGTGAACTTTTTCTTATTAATGGATCTGAAATTGGAAATGATGATAAGATACTTTTATTCAGAACATTAGCAAACCTCCGTAAGCTCGAATTGGCAAAATACTGGATAATGGATGGAACGTTTAAAACAGTACCAACAATATTCCACCAGCTATATTCAATTCATGCTCCAGTTGGTCATGATACGAATGCCCGAATTTTACCTCTGGTTTTGCTCTTTTGAGTAGTAAGTCTAAACAATGATATATTCGTATGTTTCAAGATCTACAAAATTATGCAGCAGAAAATAATATAGTTTTAAAACCTGACCATATTTTAACTGATTTTGAACAAGCAGCTATTTGTGCAGTTAAATAAGAGTTCACAACTAGTCAAAGTCGATTATGTCTCTTTCATTTGGGACAAAGTATGTGGCGAAAAGTTCAGTCCGTTGGTCTTTCTATTAAGTATGGTGAAGACGAAGAATTTAGTTTGCTAGTCCGTCATTTCCTTGCTCTTGCTTTTTTACCACCAGAAGAAATTCCATCAGCATTTACTGAAATTAAAGAACGACTACAAAAAGAATCTGGCACGGAACATCTAGTAATGTGGTTTGAAGATAACTATGTTCTTGGTCGAGTTCG